GAGAGGAGAAGCATGATCAATCTTGGAAGTGCTCAGTGGTGTGTTGCAGGGTTTTGCACCAACCATTTTGGCTTTGTGTAGCAAATCCAGAATATATTTAGTTTGGGAGAGGAAAATGCCAGTAGAAGAGCGCTTAACCTCGAGACCGAGAAAATAGTGTAAAGGACCAAGATCCTTAATAGGAAACAAATTGCTGAGATGTGTGATCACATGTTGACAATCAACAGAAGAGGGCCCAGTAACCAAAATATCGTCCACATACACAAGAACAAAGACCAAGGATTTGTCCTTTTTGACAAACAGAGAATGGTCACTTTGAGAACCAACAAAGCCAAGAGAAGCAAGAGCAGCATGTAGTTTATCATACCAAGCTCGGGGAGCTTGTTTCAGACCATATAACGATTTATGAAGCTGGCACACATGATGGGGCTTGGTAGAGTCTGCAAAGCCGGGTGGTTGTTGCATAAACATAGATTCAGAAAGAGTGCCATGTAAGAATGCATTACTGACATCAAGTTGGTGCAGAAACCAATCAAATTGAGCAGCAAGGGTGAGTAAGAGGCGAATTGTCACAGGTTTAGCCACAGGGCTAAACGTTTCAGTGTAATCGAGACCTTCCTGTTGGTGAAAGCCCTTGGCAACCAACCGAGCCTTGTAGCGATCGATGGAGTCATCGGGTTTTCGTTTGATGCGAAACACCCATTTGCAGCCAACTATGTTCTGTGAAGAATGATATGGAACCAGGGACCATGTTTGAGTATGAAGAAGAGCATTAAATTCCTCCTGCATTGCTTGGCGCCAATGAGGGTGTTGAGATGCTTGAAGATAGGTTGTAGGAATATAATCCAGAGACAAATGAGAGGGAAAAGGATGATTTGTGGCAGTAAAAGCTTTAGGTTTGTAAATGCCGGACTTAGAGCGGGTTTGCATAGGGTGAGTGTTTATGGAGGAAGAGGGTGGAGGGGATGGCGGTGGTGGTGCAGGAGGAGGAGGGGAGGATGATGGTCCAGAGGGTGGTGAGGATGGCGGTGGTGCAGTGGGAGGAGGGGAGGAGGATGGGCCAGAGAAAGGAGATGAGGGTGAGGAAGGAGTAAGGGATGGAAAAGTTAAGGAAGATGGAATAGCATAGGATGGAGTTGCAGGTTGTAATGGGGAAGAAGGAAAGGAAGAATAAAGATTAGAAAATGGAAACTTACTTTCATCAAAGAGAACATGCCGGGAGATGTAAAGGCGGCCCGTAACTGGATCAAGGCATTTGTACCCCTTATGATTGAGACTATAGCCCAAGAAAACACAGGGCTTGCTCTTAGCATCCAACTTAGAAGAAGTATACGGCTTTAACCACGGAAAGCAGAGGCAACCAAAAACTCTGAAGGTACCATAACAAGGCAATGTCTTGAAAAGAGACTCCCAAGGTGAGGGCCGAGATAGAGTAGGTAACCTGTTAATGAGATAGATTGCAGCTGCAAAAACATCGACCCAATATAAGTGAGGAACTTTAGATGCTGCAAAAAGAGTCCGGGCAGTTTCCACAAGATGCCTGTGTTTGCGTTCAGCACACCCATTTTGCTCGGGTGTGTGAGGACAAGATAACTGATGTTGGATGCCATGTTATGCCAAGAAAGTAGAGAAAAGAGTACTCATGTATTCACCACCAGAATCAGATCTCAAAGTAATAATTTTGGTGCACAGAGTATTTTCAACCAAAGATTTATATTTCATGAAGACTGATAGTACATCAGATTTGTATCTCAGAGGGTAGAACCAACAGTATCGAGTAAAATCATCTACAAATATGACATAGTACCGGAAACCATCCTGAGAAGCTATAGGTGAGGGTCCCCAAACATCGGTATGAATGGGTTCTAAAGGTTTCGTGGTAGTACATGTAGTAGATACAAATGGCAATCTAGAACACTTTCCTAATGCACAGGCTGAGCAAAAAGAAAAGGTCTTATGTTGGAACACAGAGATACAAGATTGAGAGGCAAGCTTATTTAAAATCCTGACTGAAGGATGGCCCAACCGTCCATGCCACAGAGTCCGGGAAGCTTTTGGAGTAGCAGTAAGCGCTGTATGCTTGGCACCAGTGTGAGATGAAGGATAAAATGGATAGAAGCCATGCTGAACAGGACTTTTAAAACGCATCCTCCCCGAAGAAAGATCCTTCATAGTAAAGTGAGAGGGATAAAGATGCATAGAGCATTGATTATCAATAAGAAATTGATTTGCAGAGAGGAGATTATGCTTCAGATCAGGCACAAATAAAACATTTTTGAGTGCAAAATTACTATGTGAAGTGGTAATGGAAGAAGAACCAGTGTGAGTGATAGGCAAACCTTTGCCATCACCGATATACACTTGTTCAGGCCCTGTGTAGACTTCAGGATTCTGGAGAGTGGCATAGTTGTTGGTCATATGAGAAGTGGCTCCAGAGTCGACAATCCACGGAGAGGAGGAGTTGGAGGTGTTGGCAACCAACGCAGTTTGGGATGACTTGCCATTATAGTGAGGGTCCATGCGATGAGGACAGTCACAAGCCTCATGGTCAAATTGACGACATATTTGACAAGAAAGTTTCCTGTTGGATGAAAAATTGGACCGAGGGCCTCGATTGGAACGCTGATTATTGCCTCGATTGAAAGTGGAGAATCGCGGATTGTTGTTCTGCCTGAAATTGCCACGAGAATTGTGGTTGCCTTGAGTAAAGTTGCGATCCAGTCCACGGTTTTGATTGTGAGGAGAGAACGACTGCTGAGCAACATAGCCGTGAGAAATAGAAGGAACAGGCAGAGGAAGAAGACCAGTGGAGGTGTTGTAGGCCTGAAAGGAAGACACCGGTGGACTTTGCTTGCGATTGGTCAATTGGATCTCTTTGCTAAGAAGCAAACCATGGAGTTCATCCATGGTAGTTGAACCAAGACGAAACTGAATGGCATCCATAAACGAGTCAAATTCAGGAGGTAAGCCATGGAGAATGACAGAAATCAGCTCTGAATCTTCAACTGGAGCACCAGCACTAGCAAGAGCATCAGCAATCTCCTCAGTGCGTTGAAAATATTGAGCGGCTGTGAGATCTCCTTTGGTGAGACTGCGAAGGCGAGATCTAAGTTCGTGGATGTGAGAATGCGAGGCAGCAGCAAGGCGAGACTCCAATTTGGCCCATAGTTCTCGAGCCGAGGAAACTCCAACAGTATAAGGAATTAGGGATTCCGAGAGAGTCGAATTGAGCCAGATGAGAATGTTCTGATCATTCTCAAACCAAGCAACATACGCCGGATTAAGACTGCGATTTCCGGAGAAGTCGGTGAGAAGTTGAGGCGGCGCCGGCGAAGAACCATCAATCAAACCGGTGAGATTGTATCGACGAAAAATTGGAGCAAAAAGAGCACTCCATGTCAGGTAATTGGTAGTGGTAAGCTTAATCGGAACCATAGATCCAATGTTCTGTATGGTAATTGAGGTAGAATTCGAGGAATTAGGGTTTGAAGCTTCCGACGGTGGAAGAATTGGAGAATCCGATGCCGTAGAGGAAGAGACGGCAGGAGCCATGATCAGAGATGCAGAGAAGAGGATGAAGCGGAGAAGATCAACAAGATCGGAGATCAAGAGTGGAGATCAAGATCGGAGTAACAGAGAAGCGGGAAGATTTGGGATCGAAGAGAAAGGTCGTCAGACAAGGGCGAGTGATACCATATTGAGAAATATATTTTCATTTTACTCAATCAAATAAGATTACAGTCTGAATGTATATATACACCTGTGTTAGACTAACTAACTCATAACAAATAACAACTTTCCTTAACCTCTAAGTATTATCCCTTGATAGTGTATTGACAATATTACCCTTAATAAAACCGCCACCCAAATCTTTAACGATACTTTCATTATTGCTGTTGGTGGGTTTGGCAATGTGTTCAAAGGATACATTGACGACAATGCCACTCCTGTTGCCATCAAACGATTGCGACATGAGTCATCACAAAGGGCCCGAGTGTTCAAGACGGAAATCGAGCTACTCTCCCAACTTTGCCACGCCATTTGGTTACTTCCGATAATGGCGAGATGATCTTGGTTTACGATTACATGGCATGCGGCACTCTCGGTGACCATCTATATCGCACATGTAACCCCAAACCTCTTCCCTGGGAACAACGACTTGAAATTTGTATTGGCGTAGCGCGAGGGTTGCACTACCTTCACAACACTACCAAGGGCTCCATTATTCATGGCGATGTGAAGAGCACAAACATTTTATTAGATGAGAAAATGGTGGCCAAGGTATCGGATTTCGGGTTGTCAAAAATGGGCACAACCAGCACGTCCAAAACACACATCAGCACGATGGTGAAAGATAGTTTTGGGTATCTAGACCCAGAGTACTACAGACGTTAACAACTGTTTGAGAAGTCTGATATGTACTCATTTGGGGTGTTTTGTGGGAAGTATTGTGTGCGAGGCCAGCTCTGATGCATACGGTGGAGGCTAGGCATATCAACCTCGCTAAGTGGGCCAAGGGTTGTCATGGAGACGGGACACTTGGTCAAATCATTGACCCAATTGTGAAGGATAAGATTGAAGTCGAGTGCTTGAACAAGTTCATTGAGATTGCTATAAGTTGCTTAAATGATAAAGGAATCGAACGACCGTCGATGAATGATGTTGTGAGGGGGCTTGAATGGGTATTGCAGCTTCATCAAAAGAGCATTGGAAGTGAGGGTGACAATGGGGTTGCCTTTATCAATGACAGAGGCGACAATGAATATTCCAAACGAAGTATATCTGTGATAGTCTTTTCTGAGATCAACGATACGGATGGAAGATGATGAGCAACATTGTACGAAATTAGAGCAATATTATGGAAATGATGTCTCAATAGGATATCATGTATATGGGTATATGCTTTTCAGTGACACTCAGATGCGACATCACAACAATGGAACTGAGGAGATCCTCCAAACATATGAGCCGAAAGCTGCAACCACAAGCCAGCAAAGAAAGAATGAAACTGTATTGTCCATTGATTTTTGAAATGCATACATGAAATATTCCAAAATTTGATGTTTTAAACCACCGTATCATATTACAAGAATGAAATACAAAATATTCAGAACAAACAAGACTTTACAAAGAAAACAAGAGTAAACAAAGCTTGTAATTTTTGAAACTCATACATTTTGTTAGTAATATTGTGCATTTGATGCTTATTATGCCGGATTAAACCTTTCCCGATCTCCTACTTCGACGATTGTTCTAGTAGAAAAACGAAATGTATATACAGTGGTCAATTAACCCTCCTCTCCTCTGGCAGTGATTGGCAAATTTGGGAAGCTTGCATACGAAAAGCTCTCCAGGAGAAGCCCTTGTGTCCTGCAAGAAAATTAATAATTCAGAATTTAAAACTAATAATTCACAATATGCATGCTATGTTTCATATATATTTTTTATTTTTCTTTCTATTTATATTTGTGCAACTATGAAAGTTAATTTGATGCAAAATATACCTGACTTCGGTTTGAGAGTTGAGAGTGAAATGTCAGAAAGCAAAAGTATTTCCGAACTATAGAGCGCTCATATGATCAGGTCTCTGCCTATCCATATGCAAGGAATGTGAGATATCTTGGCTCAATCTTCTCCCATACGTCTTTCTTCTCACAACTTTTCTCCAGGGCAGAACATCGGTGGATTTCAGGAAAGAAACAGATGGCGGCAAACCCTCTTCTGGAAGGCATTGGAGGCTGCCAAACCCCCAAATATATAGCTTTTGAAGAGAAGCGAGGTATTGATGTAGTCCCTCTCCTGGCAGAAATTCCATAATTGGGGCAGCTTTCAATTCGTAGCTCTTGAAGAGAAGTGAGGTGTCAAAGTCCTTTTCCGTCCACTGCTTCCATGTAGCTTGGACAGATCACAAGTGTTTAAATCGTTTCAGGGCTCTTCCAATGTCCTCGCCTGCAAAACCGGATGCTCCATTTTATGACTGACTTATGTTGTTGGAATTTGGATAAGTGGAGAATGTGGAAGCAGCACTGCGTTGTAAAAATGTCGGGTCTGTGCAACTGTGCTACTTCTAGTCACCTTTAGGCAAGCCTTTCTACCCTGTGGTGGACGAAAGGATCACAGTGTCTATTAGTTTTAAGGACTTTTAAAAAGAAAAAAATGGAGAACATTCAACCATATGAAGTTTGATTCTCACAACTTTTCATTTTTTTCCTTGTTCGCTACCCCTCCCCAGCCACCCTCCTCTCTCGTTATATTGATGATGAAGAAAAATAACGGAAGGAAGAGAAACGTCAAAAAGCACACCTCCACATCTTCTGCTAAAAGATCTAATTACGTGCGGCTTTCCATTGTTGCTGCGAATTTATGGCCAGATCCACAAGAGCATATAACGTATCTACACAAGCTTTAAGATGGTCCCGGGATAAAGAAAATGAGACAACCTGCCAACGCGGAAGGAGGGAAGTACAGATGCAAGTTTGTGCCACCCATGTTAGGCTTCTGTAGTACAAAATAAGCAATACAGTAACAATAAACTGCAGTTCCAACTGGAAAAATCAACATTTAGACTCCTCCAGAAATTGGAGGCAGGGGAAAAGGGTACAAAGAGGTTTACCTCCATCTGTTTTCTCACATTCCTACTACATATGAAATTTTGAAATGCCTGCTTCTTGTGATAGCTATTCAACATGAATGTCATCTCAGATGCTTTTGCTTTACTTACATATCAGCTCAACAAACTCCTAAATACAGAGATGAAAGTAAAATTCAATGGACAGATTGATGATAAAGAATGTACAAAACTAACTATTACGGTTTTAAATAGATCCGATTATTGGTGCTTCGTAAATTAATTCTCTCTAAGAAGTATATGATTTGTAAATTATATTAACATGATTTTTTTTTAAATGATATGCAAACTACATAAAACAGGGATACTGTGAAGGGACAAAACTGAAACATATATTCAGTTAACATTTGTTAAAATGAAGCATCATATCCTTCGCATAAGATTTTCCATGGTAAGAGAGAATGGAAATTAAAGCTCATCTGCAGTATTCAACTAAAGATCTATTACCAGTTCACATTCATAAACAAAAGCATAGATACACCAACTTGAAGATGATAATGGCATTGAAAGAAGATGAGATAGCAGGCCACCGTATTCAAACCACGCCCGTATGACAAAGAAATATATCATCCCGAGGTTCCATCATCTTCCTTTAGAGGTGCATCATCTTCATGCCAAAAATGCTTAGGAAATTGATGTGAGCTAACATCCGTTGCCTCAGACAATCGCCTCTTAAGTTCCACACTAAGGACTCTGCAGCAATGACGCCACCATATTCAAACCAAATAAGTCAGTGCCGCACAATATAGCTGAATTACGCATTTGTGTTTGTAAAGAAACTCATCCACACCAACATAAAAGCCACCATATTCAAACGAAAACAGAATGATTAAAAAAAAATTTTAAAAAAAACATCGTCCAAGGGTTACGTACATGATATATCTCTTGCACCAGCGTGAAGAAAACTAGAAAAGCATGCCACGGCTGTTTACTCATGCCAGACAAGCCCAATAATTGATGCAAGCTAGCATCTGTTCCCTTGGGTAATTGTACTTTACAGTCCCACACCACAGTTAGCTCGCTGCCACATCCACAAAGGCCATAATGAGTCTGTCCTGGCACATTGTATTAACAGATACTTAGGATTGATTTTACAAAAGTCTTGATAACTAATGCTGATTCACGCAACCGAGAAATGGTAAAAGGAATACAGAACAGTTGAATAATGCATCAATAATACACATGAGCTACTGAGAAACTAATCTGCAACTTTGATTCTCAAAACTTTCAAAAACATTTCTTCTTTTTCTCTGTCCCTCCCTCCCCACTCACTGTCTCTCTCATCAACAAGTTTATGTTGAAGATAAATAAAAAGAATGAAAGAAAAAGAAACATCAGAAAACACACCTCGAAAGATTTAACTCCACACATCTTTCCATTTGTCAGCTACGATTATATGAACCAACAAAAGCATAAAGTATCTACGCAAGCATCAATCTGGTATCTGAATAAAGAAAACGAGACAGCCTGCCAATGGAGAAGGAGGAAAATGTGGATGCAAGTTTGTGCCGCCTATGTCGAAAGTAGGCTTCTGCAGACCAAAATAAGCAGTATTGATGGTTTTTATTATTTTTGATATAAGAAAAATGTGAGTTTTCGAAGTACTATATTGTATAAGTGACGCCAGGGATAAGGCTAGAGAATAATTCAGAGCAAACAATACAACAAAGAAAATGCAGAGATGAGAAACAAATTGCAAAATTTGTAATTTCTGAAACGTTAATACATTATTCGGTTATGAAAGAGTACCTAAACATGTTGCACTTTTGATGCTTACTATGCTGGATTGATCCTCTTCATACCATCCGAAAATGTTGAAGATTCAGGGATAATCTGTCTTCTTTGCTGCAAAGAAAAAATGGATAACTATACAATGATTCTTATTTCTGTTATGTCTTTTATTTTTCAAACTATTGAAGTTAATTAGATGCAAAATACCTGAGAGTGAAATGCCGAAAAACAGAGCTCATATGGATATGATGAATTGTTTGCCTATCCTTATCAAAGGAATGTGGGATATATTGGCCCAATCTTCTCCCGTCTTATTCTCATACCTTTTCTCCAGGGTGGAACAAGAGTCGATCTCCAGGTACGAAAGAGATGGCGGCAAACCGTTTTCTGGCAGGAATTGGAGTTTTGGACAATCAGAAATTCGTAGCTCTTGAAGAGAAGTGAGGTGTAGAAGTCCCTCTGCTGGAAGGAATTCTAGACTTGGGCAATAACCAATAGTTAGCTCTTGAAGAGAAGTGAGGTGTTGAAGTCCCTCTCGTGGCAGGAATTCCAGACTTGGACAATCATAAATAGTTAGCCGGTGAAGAGAAGCGAGGTGTCGAAGTCCTTTTACGTCCACCACCGATTTCAGACTTGATAGTCCAGCGATGTAGAGACTGTAAGAGTAGTAGGGAGCAGCTGTTCCTTGAGCAAAGGTGCCCAGATCTCGCCAACAATTGTAAATTCTTTAAGGGAGACAAGTCCTTGTAATCCCCACTCCACGGAAGGCTTCACTTTGTCGCAACGTGTAACCCTAAAATATTGCAGGTTGGGAGGCAAACCCCCTTGGCCAAATGATACAAGATTTGGAAGATCCCATAATTCCAATCGTTCAAGGGCGGCAAGGGTGCGAATTCGTTCGGGGAACGACTTCAAATTCTTGCATCCACCAACTTTCAATTCTCCCAAGTTGGGAGTGGGCAATCCTCCGTCCGGGAAAGACGCCAGATTTTGACAGTCGTAGATTCGCAGCTCATTGAGATGGCTTAGGTTCTGATCAACTCCTTCAATAGAAAAGGATTCCAGATTCTCACAGCAAAAGATTTGAAGAGTTGAAAGTTTGGGGAAAACGCCCAACGGGAAGGACCTCACTGAATGAAAACTGTTGTGCATAAACAAAGACTCAAGTGATATCAATTCGGCCATCATCTCATGAGATAAGAACTCTAATGACGACACGGTTGGGCAATCCCAGAACTTCAATCTTCGTAGATATTTCATTTTGGGCAGGCACTGTATTGCATCAAAATTATAAATTGCAAGTGTGGACAAGAACTTCTTCTCTACTCTCTCTATTAATGGTAACAGACCTGGGCATCCATCAATAACTATTTCCAATGAATTCTGTAAGTAGTCCATGTTAAGACTACTACTACTACTGGCCCATTCATCATGCAGATGTAGATATTCACACCGACACACCCTAAATGTTTTCAAGCAAGGAAGACAATTGGGCAAGTATCCTCTCAGCTTCGGACAATTCCATATTCCCATCTCCTGAAGACAAGGAAAGTCTGAACATTGACCTCCACTTGGACTCGGTCGCCAATCCTCCCACTCTGGCATGTCGTCAAAGTCTAGCGTCTTCAGAGACCGAAATGGCTGAATTACAGAAGCTCCATTAAGATCACCATAGAATTCAACACCAACCGTCCTAACAGATTTCATCCTTTTGATACGTAGCTCTTTAAGAGTGGGCAGCTGCCCAAAACTTGGCAAGGACAAACAATACTTACAATCACTGATACACATGAACTGTATGTTCGAGAAGGAATTAGAGCTTCCTAACCATGTTGGGAAGCTGGTTCCTCCATAGAATCTCATAGTCAGTTTCTCCAAATTTGCAGAAGGTTGGAGCTTGTCAAGCACATCTCTCTCCTTTTGGGTATCATCGGCTTCCTCATCACCCCATGCCAACTCTAAGTCATTGAGTCCTTTCTTATTCTTCAAATTGGCTTCCAAGGCATCCACAACATCAACTACATTTTGCAGATTTGAAATATGAAGTCTTCCTTGAAGATGCTGCAACTCCCTTAATTCTCCAATACTTGACCCGGTAGATTTCCCCACAATGAAATCAGTTAATTTTCTCAAACTTTTTAGTCTTCCAAATTCCACTGGCATCCCTTGTATGTTTGTTCCACTGACATCGAGGTAATGCAAACTACTCAATTCCCTCATATCTACAGGTAATTTAGTAAGGGAGCTGCAACCTGCCAACGTTAATGTCCGTAAATTTATCAATTTTCTCATGTCTGCTGGCAGTTCAATGAGAGCAGAACAACCTGACAGCAGTAACGTCTGCAAATTGTAGAGAGTGCAAACTGCACCAGGTAAGCTTACAATTGCTGTCTTGGAGAGATCCAGGTAGCGTAGGTGAATGAGATTGCCCACTGAATCAGGTAATTCATTGAAATTTTTATAACACGACAATGATAAAACTCGTAAACGTTTCAGGGATGGCAACAAATCTCGTAGAAACTTTTTACTTATGAGGAAACGTTTATACCTGTCATTTATTCCAAAAAAGAGAGGTAGGAAGGTCCGCAAACACTTAGCCCCATTTAATGGCTCAAATTTTTTAGCAGCATCAATTTCTCTCCTAGCATATGACAAATGACGAAGTCTTTTAACTTCTTGTGATTCCCTCTCTTCCAACCTGAAAAAAAATCCCCTAGACATGAACTGACCCAAGTCATTAAGAAGATCATGCATTGTGAAACCACGCTCTCCTGATTTTTGAAGTAGTGATCGTGATACTAGCTCATCAAAGTAACTTCTAGCCGTCTCTTCCATTCTTTGCCGGTTAAAATCTTGTGGAATTAAACCTTCCGCCGTCCAAAGTAGAACTACATCTTCATTCTTGAACAAATAGTCTTTTGGAAATAGTGAACAATACACAAAGCATCTTTTCAACTGAGCAGGGAGATAATGATAGCTCAAATGTAGGGCTGGAAGGATATCACTTTTATCATAAGGTAGCTCCCAAAGACTACTATTTAATAATTTATTCCATTCCTCGAAGTCTCTCCTACAACGTAATAGACCCCCGAGTGTCTCTGCTGCTAAAGGCAAACCATTGCACTTGCGTGCAATTTTCTTGCCAATTTCTTCCAAAGTTGGATGTGCATTGTGGTTTTCGTTTCCAAACGCATGTTTTGCAAGTAACATCCAACAATCTTCATGTGACAAAGGCTTCAAGTGTTGAATGGGAACATTATTCATGAGAGATGCGACATTTTCACTTCGTGTTGTCACGATGACTTTACTTCCCCTTGCCCCGGAAGTAAAAGGAGGTTGTAGGCACCTCCAATCAGAATATTTCTCACTCCAAAGGTCATCCAACACAAATAAGAATTTATTTCCTCTCAGTTGTTCTCTAAGTTCAACTTGAAGCGAATTCAAATCTGTCATCTTAGAAGGTTTTGAAGTGACCGACTCGAGAAGAGTTTTAGTCACCCTAATAGCATCATAATCTTCTGAAACACAAGCCCAAGATCTATGGGTAAAGTGCTCTTTCACCTTATCATCATTGTAAAGGGCTCGAGCAAGGGTCGTCTTTCCAACCCCGCCCATACCAACAATGGTGATGATAGATACATCATCCTCGCTTGCATCATCAAAGAACAAGACTTTTGATAAATTTTCTTTATCTTCGTCTCTTCCATATACAAAAGGTTCATGAATCAAGGAAGTTGTTGGAGTTCTTTGTGAAACCTTCCTCCCAACAACTTCTGTAAGACCAAGGGAAACTTTCTGTTGCACAAAGTCATCCAGCCTTTGTAATAACCCTTGTATCCCAACATTCATGCTTCGATAAAAATGACTACGAGAAGTAGAGAAGAAGTCCCACACCTTTTTGGTTAATTTCTCGGTTTGACCTTCACCTTCCACCTTGCATCGCAAAGCTTCAGTGTCGATCTCATCAAGTATGTCCTCCGCGTCGAAGACAGCATGCTTGAGGTCGTCCAGCCAGTCTCTCACAGCAGGGTTTGAAATTTGCTTCTCTTCCGCATCGTTGAGCACTACATTAAGGGTGAGCAGCGTCGTCTTCAGTTTCATGAAGAGTGGTTCATCCAGCTTCTTCTGCCAGAACAAGTCAGCGAACTCGGTTGAAGCAATTCTGTTGCACAGCACCTGGATGGAAGCGGAGATAATAGCCTGTCCAATCAAAGCGGCAGCCATTTTTCTCTTGGTTGCTTAGTTTGCTAGTAGCTCAACGTAGAAGAAAAGGCTTTTGAGATTGTAATTATTGATGCATCCCAATTCGTAGTGAACTTGTGATTGGTCTGTTGAAGATAAAAGAACTTGTGATTGGTCAGTTGATGATAAAAGAACTTGTGATTGGTCAGTTGATGATAAAAGAACTTGTGATTGGTCTGTAATTAGTCTTTTGGTTCAAAAGTTGTCCCATGGATCCAGATCCGGATCTTTTTATGGATAGCCTGCGGACTACAACATCGTGGCCGTTGTTTCAATGTGAATGCAAATCGTGCGATCATAAATTATTATAATTTTTTTATTTAAAATTAAATATAAACAGTACCTGATGAAAACTAATCACATGATGTATGATAAACAAACGCAATTAAAGGATTTTTAGAATCCTCACAAAAAGAATCCGCCGAGAATCCTCTCTCATAATTATTGATGCATCCCAATTCGTAATCAACTTGTTATTGGTCTGTTGACCAAAAAAGAACTTGTGATTGGTCTGTTATTAGTCTTTTGGTTCAAAAGTTGTCCCATGGATCCAGATCCAGATCTTTTTATGGGTAGCCTGCGGACTACAACATCGTGGTCGTCGATTCAAAGTGGATGCAAATCGCGCGTCCATTAAATCGTTCAGAACATGTGAAATTGTGAGATAATAAAGAGAAGATAAATGTTTAGGAGATTCTTTAAAATTGAAATTCTTCGTGAATTCTTTTTTATTTTACATTTCAACATTAACTTCCGTGCTAATATTATAAAATTTTATGTAAAAACATAAAGTCACATATAGTTTACAAAGAGTCTTATTTTTCAAAGAGTCATATATAATGTGTCAGCTAAGTTATTGGAATCCCTTGTGATTGGTCAATTGACCAAAAGAAAACTTGAGATTGGTCTGTAATGAGTCTTTGATCAATCTCTTGTAATCAACCTTTGAATATTCCTCTGCTTTTACTAAAGGTTTTTGGGGACAACTTTTGAAAGGGGTTTGATATTCGCACACCCCATTTTATTTTTCACACACTTTTCTAATTTTCGGCCGTCGGATCGGATGAATTGAAGAAAATTAACGGATAGAAATTAACAAGGGGTGTGTAAGAAGTAAAATGGGATGTGTGGATAGCACACCCTCTTTTGAAACTCTCTGTGTGCTTACATGGGATCCAGTGACACATAACTTGTACAATACACATGAACAACAATTGTTTTTTATTTTATTTTTTATCATGGGACAGACATAATTAAGATACAAGTTGTGGTGATTGTGAAAGAGTGACCTCGTTAAAACCTTGCTCAGCGAGAATAGTGATTAAATCCCCAACAAAGAAAGAAAAGTACAACTCAGTGCCAATCTCATAGTTACTCAATGTTATTGCATGTTACAAAAAAAAAAACGTGTTATTAGAAATCCAGTAAAAAAACAAACCAAAAAGAAACCGATATTAATGGCAGTTCTCGAGGCTTTGAGCTAAACAACACAATGTTATCATTCACATAATGGAGAATGAGTAAGTTGTTGGTACCTAATTAATTCTGCAGTTAATCCCTTCAATTTGGGATCTTTCTAGTGTTTGTATTCATAATTTTGATACCTTATATTGAGCAAACAATTATATTTAATTTGAGACATAATCAACTTTTATGAGATTTAGAATTATCATTCAAGATGTGGTCAAGAATGTTGTATACAATGCGCTATTCTTTGTAATGGAAAAAAGAATGTCATCACATAATTCCTCGTGTCATATACTAAAAATTTTGAGTTGTGAATTTATGATCCATCCCCTGTGAGAACTCTTTCGGGGATTGACATCCTATTGTTTCTGTGGTGGTTTCAGCTTTTTGTTTGTTCAACATTTGATGTATCAGTATTACAAGTATTAACGAGGATGATAGACAATTCTTGCGGTTGCGGACATAATTTGATTGCCATGAACATGAAACAAGAAATGAAAGCAAACTCACAACTGAAGAAAACGGTAGTACAAAACTGGATTTGGTCAAGTTGGCTAGTGTGCTCCACCCCTTGCATCCAAGTTTGAATTTCCCTCCCCGTAAATTTGTCGAGGTTAGGAACAATATGGTCCATTGTTCTCTTAGAAAGAGGCTCCAACAAGGGAGAAATTGTAAGGTACATACTCAGACCACTTGGCAATTAATCTGACCGCACAAAACCCCCACACCCACACACTTGTGTCTGGTGCCCGCCCTGTGAAATCTCGTTCCTAAATTTCACGGTTATAATTTACATATTTGTATTATTGAGACTTTATATTTTTTTTTTACGAGAAATTATATTAATTTATTTGAATTTAGATTTTAATTAAACTAGTTACGAAGTTGAAGTTTGGAAATTAATTATCTAAAATTCGTAGACCTTTCGAGGTCACAATTTATATTTTTGGAAAGATCTTGAAACCACAAACGCATAGGCGAACGCCGTTTGCGAGTCCGAATTATAATGGTATAGTTACGATCGTTTAAAGTTGTGAAACTTTAAGTTGTGGAAATTATTTAATTTCCACTGGGGGTAAAAGGCCCAAATATATAATTGGGTTAAGGGAACCGGCTATTAGGAGTATAAAGGGGGGCCAATCCAGTCATTAGAGGATGAGAAAGGATCAATAGGGGGAGTTGACATTTTCTTTCCCCATTTCTTGAAACCGTGTACTCCACTAGCCATTTTTCAAAACTGGCCAACTTCAGGCCAATTCTACCATTTATCAACTGATTTTCTTATCTCATTCACCTGCAACCTGCTCAACTACATTCCTCCTTCCATCTCCACAAAAATCAAGGGTTTTTAAGGTCTAATTCAGGTAGAACTCCACCGGAGAACCTGGGGGTTTTCGACGGCGATTCGTTGTTCCGGTGAGTATCACCATTCACCATCATCCTTAATCAACTTCCCTTGGACCCAGGAACAAGACCTAACTGGTGGTTGGGGCGTTGGAACACCAAGGAAGCCGAATTGAAGAACACATACCTTAGGGTTTTCGACAGGTGCGAGCCAATTTGAGGGCCTTCCTAACCAAATTGGACTCGGCCACAGGTATAAAGTTTACTCTACTTATTGAGATCTTCATTCTTGTAAAATTTGAGAATTTTTGGAAAAAGTCAAATTTTCCAATGTGTAACATTCGATTTATGAAATGCTGTTGGTTGAGTATAATTTCGATAAGGTCCGCCACTTGAATATTCTAGCAATTGACGATCTTACCATTGAATTGACACCAAATTTTAGTATGCTATTGTAGATATTGTTTAAGGACTTTAAGGACTTACTAGTGAAAATCTAGTGGTTGGATCTTACGGAGTAAGTGATGTAAGATCATGGACCATACCTTTGATCGACGGTCTGATTCTCATTTAATGTCGTTGTGGGAGACTTATGAGAGTTTTGGGTATATGAATTCATCGAGAGAAATATAAATGTGGACTTGTGCTTTGTTTTAGGCGGTGATAGGGCTTGACGCCTTGAATTCCATGCTAGAGTGCATTAGTGTGGACCTCATATGAGTGATTTTAATCTATGTGATATGGTTATTACTCTGAAATCTTCCATGCCAATATACTTTGTGGTTACACCATGGATTCTTAAAATAGGTCTTATGCTAAATAATTGTTGTTATAAAGTTTGCCATCGATCTACTTAAGAAACATTATGTGACTTGGATATTTGAACTGTTGATGGATTGTGTTTTGAATATATATTTGATGGTTTGATAAACATGAGGGATTGTAAAGGACCGTTACCCTAGTGTCATGGGGTTAGGTGACACTAAGTCTGCATCATGTAGCAATGGTACATGGATGGTCCTACTTGGTTAATCCGCGTTAGGGGACCATACTATTTATGGATCGCACTTGGTTAATCCGCATTGGGCGATCCTTATATCCTAGGTATGGCCATACACATTTAGGGATGATCATGCTTGGTTAATCCGCATTGGGTGATCACTTCCCAACGGTTGTAAGAGTGACTCTGCTTGGTTAATCCGCGTTGGGGGGTCACTACCTACTTGGTTACTTTCTCAGGGGTGGCTCTGCTTGGTTGATCCGCTTTGGGAGGCCACTTCCTAGTTGGTTACTTGCGTAGGCTTCGGCCGAACGACATCTCTCTAGCTCTAGTTTTGAGTGTATTTGTGAATTTTGGCTTCGAGAACTTTGAGTTGGATTTAGAAAAGTTGTTGGGTGTCTGTGTGACTCCTTCAGAGTTTGCAAAGGTTTGGTATTAATTTCTTATGAATGATTTATATTCAAAGTTTATAAACTATGATTGATGGTTGGTTTTATCATTATTATCACATACTTTGTATTATTGTCGCTCACACGAGCTTCGCAGCTTATCCGGGTTGTTGTTTGCCTGATGCACCATTTCCATGATGTAGGCACTTATTTCACATGTGACAGGTCTGGGTAAATTATGAGAAACCGTTTGATATTTTGGTTCTGTTAAGTAGTCTGGAACCCGATGTTCTCGGATTACGTTGAGTGGTCATAAATCCTTGCTCTTGCTCATTTCCATAAGGTTATCTTAGAATCCTAGATTCGAGTAAATGGGAATTACCCATAATGGATCTTGTGAATACAAATTCGAATTACCATGTTATTATTCATAACCCAAGTAGGGAATTATGTAGAGTTCTTTAATTAAATTCGTGAAATGATATGTTATCTCACTGATTGATTAACGTAATTAAATATTAATATTGTGCTTCATGATTCCTTGATATGTTACAAGCTATGGATTGAGATATAATGTTGGAAGCATAGTGATTGGTATGATGTAGTGAAATGTGATTTGACTTGTGTATTGGAAATGGTTGCGACATGTGATTGAAATGCATATTGAATTGCTTGGGAGATGTGAGGTCTAGTAATGGACCAATAACCCATTATGATGGGGATTTGTTGCTCGATATTGTTTCGTTTCGTTGAGTCTTCATGAATTGAGTAACTTGAATCATGTCTTGTTCCTTTGAGCCGTTGTTATGCTTCTTGGACTTCCTTTCAGTTCT